CCCAAGAAAAAGGCGGCACGGGAGGCTCCGGGGATAGCCCCCGGCGCCCCCACGCTCGCCGCCCAGCCGAGGGCCACCCCCCGCGAGGGTCTTACCTGAGGAGGGGGCGGCGGGGAGGCGCAGGAGTCCGAGTCCATGGCGGGGTCCAACGGCGGAGACACCTCCCGACACCGGCACGGGGGGAGGGGAAGGGAGGGGCGGGAAAGGGAGCCCCTCCCCGTCGGAGGGGGGAGGGAGTCGAGGGGCGGGGCCTCCTCTGGGGACGGAGGAGGAGGTGTGGCGCGGCGGTGGTGGTGGTGGAGGAGGAGGAGACTCACCCGCTGAGGCATGCTGGGAGCTGTAGTCTGACCCCCCCTCCGGAGTGGAGACGTGCGGTGCACGCCGGGAGACGCTGCCAAAGCCTCCCCTCCCCCCGGCACCTGTGCCAGGCTTGCGCGAGGCATGCCGGGAGCCTGTAGTGGAGACGTGCGCGCGCCCGCCTCTGCCGGGGTGGGGAACTCGAAAGGGTCTCGGAGGTGGAGAAGGAAGGAGGCGGAGCGGGCGTCGTTTTGGCTGCAGATGCCGCCGGCGGACATTTATTATTTACGCGTTCGTGCACAATTTGTGTGCACTAGTTCCCTTTCTGCGAAGCTTATCCTTTCATGCAAGGCTTTTCCCTCCTCCCCCCGCATTCGCGTATAAGTCTTAATCTCCTGCCGACGACAGCGCCCATTTCCTAGCCCAGCACGCTTGGCCCGGTAGGCGCTGCTCAGGGTCCCGCCAAATCAAAAATCTGCAACTGCCTCGTGCGGAAGGAGCTAGTCCGCAAAGTATCGCGGCGCCTAAATATCCGACTTGACCGCTGCCTTTGCTTCCTTATGAATCTGCCTAGGCTGTCAGTCACGATCCCACTGTTGTCATGAGAACCGGAAACTTCTGAAAAGCGGAATGTCAGCGCCCATGAGCCCCCTTGCATTCTGCGGGACTGGCGCTGCATTGTACTACAAGCTGGGGTAGTGGTTAGTGTATTGGGTTAGGATCTAGAAGACGCAGTTTCGAATCCCCAGTCTGCCAAAAAGCTTGGTGGGTGACCTTGGGCCAGCCACGCAGTCTAACCTACCTCCCAGGGTTGTTGTGAAGATAAAATGGAGAGTAATTATGCATTACCTACTAGGCGTCCTTCTTACAGAGAAACGCAGAGTATAAATGACCTAAATAAATTAAAGTTTGCAGGAAATCGGGCTGCCCTTCTCTAGATAAGTTGGCAGTGCCTATTTTTACTGAAGCCAAGATTCCAGCCAGAACTGTGCACAGTAGATTTTTGAAACTCCTCCCTCCCTTCTTTTTACGGGCCATAGCAGGAAGGTGGGTGTGGGCATATGCTGTCTCTGGGCTAAGGACTGATCGGATTAATTGCCAAGATAATTTAGCCTTGGCACAATGAAGTGCTGACCCAAGGTGCATCAGAATGAATGGCTTCACATTTGAGGAGTGACCTGTCAGAAGATGACTGGGCTATAGATGGTCGGGGGGGAGAGTAAAGTGTGGGGGACCCCTGAGCAGGTTCTGGTGTAAGGCTTTCAAATTGTGAGGTAAGCAGTTGCACAAAACTCTTCGACGCACTGCTGTTTGGTGATTCGCACTCTGCTTCCACACTGCAAGGTTGCGCTGGAAGTCTCAGTTGTGCTGAAACAACTTTTCTCCCTTGCCAGGACCCAGAACATCTCCTTGTCCAGGATACAGAAAGGGGAATCTCACAAGTGTCTATTTTTCTCTTACAACACAATGATGTCCTCTTCCACTTTGCCAATATACCAACATTAGTATTAGGGGAGTTGTCCAATAGAAGCCCCCTTTTTTTCTTTCCCAGATAGATCTCGGGAAATGAGGGAGTTATGTTAGAACCTGGAAAACTCCCCCAACAATTAGCATCATATCTCATGCTAGCAGGTGGAACTACTATCTTAGAACATTTGCCTCGGACAAACATGAAAGGAGCCCAGAGGGTTGTTACAGGGGAAAGAGCTCTTTCCTTAAACAGCATTTCAGCTCCACTTTTTTTAGTCTTCTGACCTGGATGGCCTAGGCTAGCCCAATCTCATCCATTTTCAGAAGCTAAACAAGGTCAGCCACGGTTAGTACTTGGATGGGAGACAACCAAGGAAGTCCCTATATGGTTGTTGCTGTAAATCCACTGTGACTTGATGGCACTTTCCACTACCATTTTTTTAGCAGTGCTGGGACCTCCTGTTATATCCAGTTCAGTAGTTAGGATCGTCTTTGTTACCGTTTTTATAGAGGGGAATTAACATAGCCGTTCCCCAGTCCTTAGGGATTTTCCCTGTTTGATCTATTTGTGTGAATAATGAGGCCAAGACCGGGACCCACCAATCTGCATTCTGTTTTATCACCTCTGGGGGTCTAGGTCTAGGCCTTTCTCTAAGACACTTCCTCTTTCTCATAGGCAAAGAATCTGCCTTTTAAGAAGTTTTTAATCGGATAGGCGAGAAGAAGTTACTCATCGGGTGGCAAGGTTTGGATGGCTTGCCCTAAGAATTAGAAAAACCATAGAAGCTTGAAAAGAGAATTAAGATTTTAAAAACCTGCTTTTAAAATTCTGCTTCTATTTCAGTGTCACATGTATCATTTATGCCATCAGTGTATTATGTGTTGGTCAATGACCGTGAATAAAACTTACTACTATAACCAGTTCAGAAGTCCTTGCCTTGTTCAGGGTTTGTGTCCTGGTAAGGAGTGAGTATTGGAGACAGGTGGGGCTTTTTATGAGGTATATTTGTTTACACACATCCAAGTTTAGAAGGGGGGAGCCTGCACTCCCCCGGGGATAATGCAGCACATTCTCCCAGCGACACAGCATGAGGGCTGAATGGAGCATAAACAAATATGGCAGGCATTCTTGGTTAAACTACTTTATGGAAGAATTGGGATCCTCTCCGTAGCTGCTGGGCCTCCTGGCTCAGAACTTAATCTCAAAGTGGCACCTAGAGTTCTTTTGTAATTACAACCCATCTCCAGACAACAAATATCAGTTCACTTGGAGGAAAAGGAGGGAAGAATCTATGTCAGGGGTGTTGAACTCATTTGTAATGAGGGCCGGATCTGACATAAATGAGATCTTGTTGGGCCAGGCCATGTGTGTCATAAAAAGTAATGACAGGCAGCGGAGATATAAACTTTATGAAGGACACAAACATAAAGGGTTTTTTTTTAACTTAAAATAAAAACATTAGCACTCTTGCAATATTTTGTTTATTTAACAGTATCTGATGACTGACACCTCTTGCTCTGAATTATTGCATCAAAATGTCTGTGCTGTTGCAATCTTGAGTATGCTGTTCAGGTGTGTATCGGTAAGCTGTAAACCTACAATGATGCAGAACGGCTTCAAAAGGGAATTAGATAAGCATATGGAGCAGAGGTCCATCAGTGGCTATTAGCCACAAGGTATAGATAGGGACTCTGGGGCAAGTGATGCTCTGTCATCTTGGTGCTTGGGGTGGTCAACAGTGGGATGGCTTCTAATGTCCTGGCCCCACTGGTGGACCTCCTGATGGCACTGGTATTTCTGGCCACTCTGTGAAACAGAGTGTTGGACTGGATGGGCCTTTGGCCTGATCCAACATTGGCATCTCTTATGTTCTTATGTTCTTAAGCAGCAGCAGAACTGGAAGAAGAAGCAGAAGACAGCCAGTTCCACTGTGGGCCTGATAGAAGCCCTCTGGGGGCCTGATCTGCCCCCCGGGCCGCATGTTTGACACCCCTGCTCTATGTGGCACGACACCCCTGCTGAGCTCTCTGCCCCAAATCTCCAGAAATTCTCAAAACAGAGTTTGCTGGAACTCTTGGGGAGGGTGTGTGGCAGAACATGTGCTTTGCGTGGAGAAGGGCCCCAGTTTGATGCTCAGGGTCTCTGGTTAAAGGAGCTCTGGTCTTGGGAGGAACTTTTCTGTGCTGAAAATGTTGACTTGGCAGTGGCTGTCCTGCATGAAGGTAAGAGTGATTTATTTCATTCATACCTTACGTTTCTTCCCATCAGGGACTCAACGTGGCTTACAAGTTATAAGTTATAACATTCTTACTTTCTCCTGTTTTATCCTCACAACAATCCTGCGAGGTAGATTAGGCTGAGTGTGCGTGACTGGCCCAAGGTCACCCAGTGAGCTTCCATGGCAGAGTGGGGATTCAAACTTGAGTCTCCAAGACCTTAGTCCAGCACCTAACCACTGCACCACACTGGCTCTTCTATAAGGCAGTTTCATTTGTTCAGGGTAAAGAATTCCAGGATTGCAAACCTATGTATGTATGTATTTAGATTTACTTGCTTTTCTCTCCAGTGGAAACCCTCCAAACAGTCTGTGACATGACTCTCCCTGCCCCCAACAGCCCTGTGAGGTAGGTTAGGCCGAGAGTGCATGACTGGCCCAAGTCACCCAGCAAGCCTCCATGGCAGGGTGGGGATTTAAACCTGGGCCTCTTGATTCTAGTCTGACACTCTAAACATTGTCCCCTAAAGTACAGGCCCATGCTTGCCCTACGTTAAACCTTGGATGTGCCCTGGTATCTTAAGGCACCTACAGTTGCCCATGGAAAGGGCACCATGATCCCAGAACAGGTATCCAGTTACAATACTCTGTTAAACTAGTCGAGAGAACTACAGTGAATGTTGCATATGATAAGCATTAGACAGGTGGCCTCCTCCAAGTCCCACATTTGGTAAGATACACTGCTAATGTTATAGTACATCCTTGACCAGACCCAATGTCTTGATTCTCTCTGCCCCAAGTGTTCTTTTTCTACAGCGGCTCATTGAATGCAGTTGGGAGTCTTTCACACCATCACTGGATAGCAAAGTAGGTAAGGCATAATCTTTCACTGGTGAAGTGTATCCTGTTGGGCAGGGCTAATTTTGGGCAGGAACGCACAGGAACGGAGTTCCGGCTGGTTCCCAAGTTGGCCACGCCCAGCAGGAACTCATTAGCATAACAGGCCACACCCAACAGCAGAAATGCATTAGGATTGGCTACATTAGGGGTGTGTGGCCTAACATGCAAAGGAGTTCCTGCTACAAAAAAAGGCCCTGGGTTTTGACAACAAACAAGGTAAACAGAATAAGAAGCAAAAGGTGGGCGTGGCTGGA